TCATTTACTCTTCACTGTCCTATTGCAAGAGAGAAGTGGGGGAGTACAGCTTTGTTTTGCTCCCTACACAAAGCTGAGCCTGAAGGCTTTCTCTAATTGTTGTGCACTTTTCTGTGATGAGGAAGAGGAAGGTTTGTTATTGGGACTTGCCTCAGGGGGTTACTACAGTCATAATTGTGATTAATAACTTGCCAGCTGGATGCTATCTATGGAGTTAGAACATCACACTGGCAAGCTCTTCAGGTTATTAACTGCTCTGTGACACTTAGGCTGTTTACAGACATGGAATAAAACCCCAAACAAAGCTTTACTTTCAGCTTGGTGTGCCAAGCACAGCGCATGTCCAGAAGAGCAATTGTATCAGTTTGACCCAACTTGTCCAGTGTCTGTATAGCTCACGTGCTTCAGCAGGGGGTTTTGGTGCTTTTATTTAATAGCCGATTGAATCAGCTATTGGATAAAACCACCAAAAAGCTCCACTGAAGTGTGCGAGCTATACAGATGCTGAGCTGGGGCAAACTGATGTGATTCCTTTTCTGCTTAAGTGCTGTTCCCACCTGCTGCTGCCGCCCATGACACCCACCAACTAATTGTACCCCGTCCAGCCTTTCTGCCCACAAGGGTGGGAGCAACGCTCCCATATATACACCCCCTGCTAACATACCCTATTGTGCCTCACTCCGACCCTCGTGGGCAGAAGGGCTTGGCCCAGTCAGCAGCAGCTGCCGGGGGACCTGCTTGGTTTCCCTGGCATCCCACTCACTCCAGGCACCAGGTAGGGAAGCGGTGGGGGCAAGGGCAGAGCTGCAGCTGGGTGGGAGCACAGAGCATGGGGCTGGGGCTGGCGGCAGCGTGGAGCTCGGATGGGCAGGGTGTGTAGCTCCCAGTAGCAGCAGCAGCAGGTGGGGATGCTTAGGGTGCTTGTACTCAGTACAGGCACTGGCACCTGGCAGTGTGCGGCTCCAGCCAGCACTGCATATCGTGCTGAGGAGTGCAGCTTGGCTGGGCTGCCTCTCTCACCAGGGCTCTGCGCCGCCCATATGCAGTTCCTGCACTTGCATGCCGCTGGAGGGAAGCCCTGTGTGCTGGAGCTGGCTGCCTTTGCTGCCTGCTGCCGTACAGGTCCTGGGACTCCATGGGAAAGCAGGGAACAGGGCTCCCCTCCACTTCTGGAGGAGTTCTGGGATCTGCGCAGCAGGGGGCAGGGAAGGCAGCCAGCTCCAGCACATGGGGCTTCCCTCCAGTGGCGTGCAAGTGCAGGGACTGCATGTACACAGCGCAGAGCCCCGGCGATAGAGGCTGACCAGCTGGGCAGTGCTCCTCACCGTGATGTGCAGCGCTGGCGAGAGCTGTGTGCTGCCAGGCATCAGCACCTGTCGGGCATGAGTGCCCTGAACACCCCTGCCTGCTGCTGCTGCTGGTGGGGGCAATGCACCATAGGGGGGGGGTAGGGGAGGGGGCC